TTTCAGCAAACTTCAAGCCCTGAGAAATGGGAGTTGAGTGTTTGGGGAGGAAATATAAGAACATGTTTATAAGTGGCACATTTTTCCGTCATCAGTCAATATTTCAGCATTTCTTTTGCTCATTGATGCATGAAATATCTACGCAGAGTCTGCAAAATTTTTCTACTCCAAATGCAATATTTCTTTGAAGCAGCATTCCATTGTTGAATGATGCGTTGGTATGCACATAAGTATATTCCTTATACCCGTATGCATCTATAGATGTATGAGCTTATTTTTACATTTCGCTAATAATCTGTTGCACTGATTGACTGATGCTGATTTATCGATTTTTCTATCATTTACTTCTATTCAATGGGTAATTGCAGCGACAAATGCAATATTGTAACCATATGCATATTGCATATGTATTTATGTATATAGTACATACATACCTACATATGTATGTATATATATGTATATTTAGCATGTTTATTTTGCATAGTTGATTTACATATGTACATACATATGTACATATATGTAAAAGTCACATGTTAAATTTGTGTAGTGTATGTATGCTTGTGCTTATACGCATCCTTTGCTAGTTCAAGTGCACTTGATAACGTCTGGAGCAGTTCGTTTCGCTTTGTAGACGCAATCGAACATAAAGAAATAAACAAGAAATATTTGAAATATTTTAGAAATTGAAGTTTTTGTATGTATTGAAGCTTTAAATTTAGTTAACTTAATTATTTTCCATGGAATTGAATTTTTTATTATAAAATATGAAATAAAAAAAACTAGTAATTGATAAGCAAAAAACACAGCCTACATCAATTTTAGGACTATCATTAATTTCTTCATGTTCTAATGATCGAAACTAAAGCAAAATAGTATGAGACCACCCTTGCCGTAACATCTTTCCAATGAAGTAAAAATTATAAAAAAAAACGGACCATTTGGGTCCAAAGTTATCCGGTAACGTACACGGTTGCCACATTTGGTCACTTGTAAAATAGGTAACTTGTTGAGTGCTTGTTAACTTGGCAACTTTTTTTATTTTGGTAAATTGCACTGTGGTTGTGTGTAGCGGCGACAACACTACTGGAAGCAATTGCATTGATCAGGCAACACAGCGCTGAGCAAAAATAACTAACCACATATCGAAGAAAATTATCGCTGGGCAGTCTACTCGTTAATTTATCACAGTGTGGGCGCCTGTCACATGTAGTGATGTGCTGAATTGTCGGTACCCAATACTTTAAAAAAAATTCGGTACCCAATGCTTTCTTTTCGGTACCCGATACCGATTCGATACATTAAACCCTCGTCATAATATATACAGCTGATTAAGTTTAGTGACATTTTGACGACCAGTTTTGTTTATTTAAGTTTAAGTTAAGTCAATAACCAGCACCACATTAATCCACATTTCAAAGTTCTTACAAAAATTATAAAAGTTCAACAAACTTTAACAATTAAATAAATATTTAAACATTTTATTAAAATTTTTTAGAAAAATTTTAGGTATACAGTTTTATAGCCCATTAAATTTGAATGCGTTAAACTGCAAATTGTAAATCGCTAGAGAATCGCCTTGATTTTTCATAAATTTTTTTGCTGACGGTGCTATGCATTTTCCTCCATATAAAAGTAATTGGCGAGCATACTTTATATGGGAGAAAATACTCAACACCGTCAGCAAAAAAAAAATTAGTAAAAATCAATGAGATTTCTAACTTCTTGAAATTTGCACTTTAACATACTAAAATTTAATGGGCTATAAAACTGCATACAAATTTTAAAATTTTTGGGTGTAATTGCTAAAAAGTTTTTTTCAGTTTTTACGAAGTTTGAAATGTGGATTTATGTGGTGCTGGTTGTGTAATGCTAAACGTTTATAAAAAATTATAAACAATTAATAGAAAACAGAGAAATAGCCAAAACTGGTCAAAATGTCACGTATTTTAATCAGCTGACCACAAGGGTATACTTTTGAAGTTTGCAGAAAAAAAATTATTGTTATTTTATATGACATCGCCTGAAATAAAAAAGGTACAAATAAGACGATACTTCCTCAAAAGATGAGCAATGTGTATGTCAGTATTTGAGCCTCCTTGTACTTATCGCCACAGTTTTCCCAACTGGAACAATTCTTGTGGCAACATTTTTAATTCGTAATTTTTAAGGCAACTCTCTATTCAAAGAATATTTGTATTATTGTTGCCACAGGGGCAGATATTAATCCAGCGACGACAACGTTCAGATCCAAACAATGTGGAGAAATAGACTTCTTAAACCATAGATTAATGACTTCAGCGATCACTAAACAGCTTTTATTCTATATTTTGTGGGTATTGCGGAGTCTTATTAGAAATTCCAATATTTCGGTACCGAGTTACGAAAGTATTGGATGCTTTTTAAATCGGTACTAAGTATCGATCAATACCTAAAAGTACCGAGTCAGCGCATTACTAGTCACATGTTCAATATTTATTGTGATATTAGGTTCGTCATCCATATTGATGGCCTTCAAAATAGTGATGGATCGCGTGGGAATGCTACATGTTCATTATTTATCGCGTCAGTATTTACATGTTTTTGTGTTGAGAGGTTTAAAGTCCAATAGCCTGGAAATCTTGTCTAAATTTGATGTTATTTTATTGAAAATCGTCTATACTTTTTATTATATGTATGGTGATCCCACATCTAATTTGTTCGAAGTGCAACGCGAAATGCCGAGCCATGCGTTCAATCCTTATTGACAGATCCTTGATCCATATATAAAGGAAATGAAAAAAGGAAGTTTGAACAGCAGTTTGTGCGGTGTATTTGGGCTCTTTAGCGCTTCGGTATATGCACTTAAGTCAATTTTTTATATATTTTTTATTTGTTCTGAGGCGAAGATCCCGTTCAAAAGACAAGAGCTTAAAGCGCGTTTTTATGACAAGTATATTTTTAACGCGCGCGTTGCAAAAATATTTGTGTTGTTTTTTGTTTTCCAAATTTTTGTTATATTCTTCTTTATACACGTACGTATACACAGATTGAATAAAAATGTATTTATATACGTATGTAAATGTATCTATTATATGAGGCCTTGAGCGCCAGAGTAGCTTAACTGACACTCCAAAAAAAGTTGAGGTGCACCTTAAAATGCATTACCAGAATCGAAAAGGTAATAGCCCGAGGCACGGCCTTATAGTTTTCTTTTACTATACTTTTAGTAAAAGACTTCATTTCTTTTTTATAGATCCTTCTTTCTCATATTACTAAAAATTTTTTTGTAGATAGGCTCATGGCCTCATATGCAAAATGTATTTGGTTAGTTTTATTTTAATACAACTTTTTATTGTGCCCATGTCTTATTTATGCCAAAATAAACGAGGTTTGTGTTTAGTTCATTGTAAAATAAAACGTTGTTTGTTACTTGGTAACTTTTTTTTTGTAAAATCTGATCGGAAAATTTTTTGTCGTGTGGCAACCGTGGTAACGTATACAAAAAAATATTCCGCTGAATTAATAACCCTGCTCTTTCGGTATTTTTTTTCTAATATTTTTATTGAGCTTTGTACCACGATTGTTTATTAGGAAAAATTGAAAAAGCAACAAATTCTAAGCGGTAGAAGTTATAGCAGCTATTTCGGAGATCACTACATCTCCTCATCAGACTTCTTTTTTCTAGACTTCAGCAGGGATCGAACCTGCGTAATCGATGTGCAAAGTCAGAAGCGTTAACCGCTGAGCTATGTGCACCCCGAAAGCTCTTGTTGCTAAGGATATAATAAGGAAAACGATGAAAAAACATTTAAATGTTTAGGTGCAAATGTTAAAGTTTGATAAGCTTTCATATTTTTGAACTAAGTTTTAAATGTGGACTTACGTGCTCGACTTTTATAAAAAATATAAACATTAAATAAACAAAAGAAAAATAGCCAAAACTAGTCAAAATGTCACTTGAGTTAATCAGCTGACCACAAGGGTATACATATATGCCATTACGGTTATAATAATTTCCAGTCATTATTTCAATTGTCTAATAATTTGCACACTTTACGAAATGTCTTTAAGTGTATAATTTCATGGAATGGGTATTCATCTAAATGCTTAAATGCTTCTTAGGTACGTAAGCCTTGTAATGAAACAAGTTTTCAAAATTAAGGACGTTTACGAGGTTTACGTCGTTACGAGGTATTTAAGCAATTAGATGAATACCACCTTTACACATATTAATTGAATCATTCTTCCACAAATTTATTGCGTACCTAAATAACTGTAATTTATAACGGTTATGAATTTCAGAACTTCAAGAGAATAAATTGAGATTTTCACAGAATTAACCTATACTTACATACATGTAATCCATTGCAATTTTTGCAGCTGTCTTCAAAGCGTTAGAAGCTTTAAATGCCGTTTAGAAATTGTCACCAGCTGTTTCGATTGAAATGTAATTTAATGGCTACTTAGAGCGGCATAATGTGTGATTAATGCCCGTAATTACGTATACGACACGTATTACAAATGCGTGTACATATGCACATATGTATGTACATATATTTCGCATACACATTCCAGTACACATATGTATTTACTTGCATCCTTCAACATTGAAATTGACACACAAAAAGACTTCACAGTTAATTTGATATTTGCCAAACGTAACAATCATTGGCGGTGTGATTTACCACTCCCAGCTATTTAAGTGGCATCGAATGACCAACGCGAAAGGAGTGCTTTAATAAACTCTAGCGTCAAAGGAAATGCAGAATTGCACGGAGTAAAAAGTGTACTATAAACAAGCCACAGAATAAGCAATCAAGAAATCAACTGCAAAGGAAAGTAGAAGTGAGGAGCTGAGAGATAGTGAGTGGAACGCAAACACTTTGTCAACTTCAATTGCAGTTGCTGCCACTTGGCGGTTCTTCGATTGCTGCTTGTAAGTTTGCGGATATATCTATTTTCGTTAAAATTTTAAGCTTCTCGTTAGCCGTTCTCTTTCTGAAAACGCACTGTTGTCAAGTATGCCCACTCCCATTGAGGACAATCCTCTTCTCTCCATAAATGTGAAGTTGTGGAAATTCCTGTCCGTCCTCTTAGTACGCGATTGGAGTCGTTGTGTCGCTCTTGTGGCGCCAGTGTGCCTGATGAACGCAATGCAATTCGTTTATTTGTATCAACAATGGGGCGATTTGGCCACTTTCATTCTGAATACCTTCTTTGCGGTGTCCATATTCAATGCCTTGCTGCGAACGTGCTTTGTCATCAGGAATCGAGATAAATTTGAGGCACTTATGCAGGAATTGGTAACACTATACGACAATATACAAGTAAGTATGAATTCAAGCGGAGTTATTGAAATGGGCGTTAATTGATTATAACAATGTTGACTTAAAGAGAAAGAAAGAGAAAACAATAATTTGTAATTTATTTAAAACGCTTGTTTAGGCCACTGGGGATGAGCATGCAAAGAGCGTGCTAGCAGAAGCCACCAGGTCAACAAGAAATATATCAATCTTCAATTTGGCTGCTTCGTTTTCCGACATAATAGTGGCTATGGGATATCCACTTTTTCGTGACCAAAGAAGTAAGTTGGATATGGCTTGTAAATCCATAGTGGATATTTTCTGGTAAAACTTTAAGTTGTTGGAATGCAAAGTTATAGAATTTATTGCTCCGCACATGGTCTATGTAAGATTTACCTTAATCGGAGATACATATCTCTACAGACTTCCACCTAAGATTGATGCTCGAAAATGCTTCATACAACTTTTACGTAATTTACAGTTAGCAAAGAAGTGGGGACAATTTCTCCATCTTGGTACTGCAACCAGCAGTCTGGAAAACCAGAATCGTATCGTAAGCTGGCAAGAAAAAGAAATAATTCGCTAGAAAAGTCTTAGGGAAGAGACAGTTGGGAAGATCATATCAGGTAAAACATTTTGAAAGAAACCCCTTGGCAATAAGCACACATAGCAGAAAAGTTCACAAATATGGCTCTATATTAACTGACAAACGAAATCCAAAGTGCCCTTGAGTTTGGGGAAAAACGANCAATAAGCACACATAGCAGAAAAGTTCACAAATATGGCTCTATATTAACTGACAAACGAAATCCAAAGTGCCCTTGAGTTTGGGGAAAAACGACCTTCCTCGACTTATGCAACAGGGCAACCGGAATCATTTGCTCTTCTGTGAGATTGATCCAGGCTGGAACTTAGTCCCAGAATCAAAGTGTGTTTCTCTGTGTTGAAATATTATAAAGCATTTCAGGTGGAAGCCCACACCATCAGTCTATAGCACGGCTAAATTTTTTGAGGAATTTCCAGTGATATGATCGTAGTCCTTAGGGTTATGCAGACAGCACTTAAGGATCTCTTCTCATGTGAAACCAAATCATGCTTAGTGCCTGAGAGAGAACCAACATCTACTCAACCTCCCAAAATAGAAGCTTATAATACTAACAGAGCTAACAGAAGTCTAGGCTTAATATTCTTCGTGCCACCTTAGGGTTTACTTTATTTCCAGAGTGAGTGATATACCATCCTGCGAAGGGCATCGGAACTAACGATACTGACTTTCTACATAAAGGTTACCATAATGGACTTTGTGACTTGGTTTCTGTTTGCTTTTATTCCACCAAGCTTCCACAATACCAAAGCTATTTTGCGTATACTCGGCTAGAGTCTTTAAGGATTTTTATTTCCTATCGAGCCAGATAGTTGGCGTACAGTACAGAATTATTTGGTACAGTCAATCCAATTTGTTGTTGGGAATTGAACATTAGCTTCTGGAAGAACGTTTATAAAAGAAAGGAGCTTTTCTTTCAAGTTCTTCGAAAGCTTCAATGTTTGCGACGATTTTGGCCATGTCAAAATAATGATAACAAATAGCGGTTATTAAAGGAGATACAAAGTAGGATAGCCAGTTGTAATAAGTATTGGATTAGCAAGTCTTTTAAAAGCTTTTGCTCATAAAACTGATTACATAAGTAATAAGTAATGCGTGTCAGGTATTAGCTGGTATATGTTAATAAATTTGTCTTCCTTCTAGTTCATCCTTTTGGAGTTGCATTGCCCGGCATAGACGTCACCCGCTCTCCACTTTATGAAATCCTCTATGTTGCCCAGCTTCCCTCCCCCTTCACTTTGAGCTCAATGTATATGCCTTATGTAAGTCTTTTCGCATCTTTTGCAATGTTTGGCAAAGCAGCACTGCAGATTTTGCAAAATAATCTCAGAAATTTATGCGAAAATATGCAACACAAAAGTGAGCCGGAATTGTTCGATACGCTGCGTGCGAATATAGCCTACCACGCCAGAATTGCTAAGTGAGTAAAAGAAGAGCACTGTGCTTTTAGGAGTCGGGCGACTAATATATGTATGTACTTGCTTTGTTTAATTAAAGATATGTCAATGATTTTAATGAATTAGTTACTTATATGGTACTCGTGGAATTTCTACTCTTCAGCTGCGTTATTTGCTCACTACTTTTCTGCATAAATATTGTAAGTAAAACCAAAATTCCGATCCATAACTCCGATCAAGTGGTGAAGCACTTTAGATGTACTTAAATTGAGCATTTTCTTTCTTTTGTTTTTTAGACTAATTCAGCGGCAGAAAAAATGTCTATTGTTATGTATATTGGCACAATGTTGTATGTGCTCTTTACCTATTACTGGCAAGCTAATGGTATTTTGGAAATGGTAGGTTGTGATTCATTTATTGAGAAATATTTGCAATTGGTTACGGTTTTTTAAATTAGTAGAAAGCTATCATATATTTAGTTATTAGCCTGACAATATCACTTTTCTTCCTTTTTTGCTTTTAGAGCCTCCTTGTCTCAGACGCAGCTTACGAAATGCAATGGTACAATTGTAGCCAGCGATTCAAGCGAACCTTACTCATATTCATAACACGCACTCAAAGACCACTACAGGTAAGAATTTTTAAGAAAACTATATGTACATAACAGGTCATGTGAAAAATAAAAAAATAATATGGATAATATTTTTCATTTTGGTTTTTAATGTTAATATTTTTTTATAAAAAATTAAGCGCACGATCTAACATTTAAGTCAAAATTTAAAGCTTTGTAGAAAAATTATAAAAATTCAACAAATTTTCAAAACAACAACAAGGTTTTTACTAAACATTTTTATAGCTTACTAGTGGCTAAGAATTCGCGTTGATGTTTGATAATTTTTTTTTGGCAATGGTTTTATTACTTTCTTTCATACCAAAAGAAATGTTCAACATACTTTGTATGGAAGAAAAAGCCTGATACCGGCAGCACAAAAAAATATATATATAAAAATTCAACGCGAATCCTTAGCCCCTTGAACCGTACATGCTAGATTTTGATGGGCTATAAACCTGCATATTCGGAATTTTTCTAATTTTTCTACAAAGTTTGAAATTTGGACTTACATGGTTTTTGTTAGATAATAAGCTCTATTTTTATAAAAAAAATAAAAATCATATACATTAAAGAAACAAAAGAGAAATAGTAAACACTGTTCAAAACGTCACACAGTGGGACGTCGCAGTACTAAGAGCGGTCAGAAATAGAAGGAATGTAGCTAGAGCAAAAAAAAGTTTTGCACACGTAATTTTTAAGACAATCGGTCCATTCTTTTGCAACCGAGCTACAAAAGAACACTCGTTTAAACGACGAAATACACACAAAAATACGCGACCTGAAGAGTAGTGTTGTTAAGTGAAAAAACTGCTCTATTGTGAATTGTTACTGGGAAATTGGAGAGGAAAGTTTTTGTTTTCGTATATACATGATTTATATTTTAAATAAGTATATATATTACGCAAATACCTCGCATAATAACTAATTTCTATTGTTTTTTGTGTCTAAATCCCGTTAAACTCATCACATGTTGCTTGCTAGCTACCAGCAAGGTTGCTTAAGTAGCTAAAAGGAAATTTTACCCGAGTTGAGGGTTATTTTGTCGCTCGCGCACAAAAAATACAGCTAATATTACACTTTAGACCAAAAATGGTCAAAATCACACGCCCACCTACCATACAAAAATTCGAAAAAAATATAATTCCACAATGCATGAAGATATTTCGACTAAATTGTGTACACATTTTTAAAAGACTTAGTACATGCAATGATGTTTAAAAAACCAACCAAATTGGACTTGTGTACTCCAATTTTCATTTAAAATTATATTTGCATTCAAATGCATTTTCTCAAGGATTTTGTTTATATTTTCTTTTAAAACGTGATTGTGTTGGTTAATTTAACATAATTTAATAATTTATTTTTCAGACTGAAGGCGAAATATCGACAAAATGAAATTAAAAAGCAAATAAAGCAGAAAAACATTTAATGTTTTATTTAACATACGGCCTATAACTTAAAAATAAATTATTAAATTTTATTTTAAGATAAAATAATTTAGAAGAAAACTCTGATGCATTTAAATGTTTTAACATACCGTTATTTCATTAATTGCATCGAAATCTCATGAAACATAAACAAAATTAAATCTTCCTCGCTCAAATCACTAGCCAATTTCTTCTTCTACCTGTGCAAGAAACCTCTTTATGTCTACAGAAGAACGATTCTTAAAAATTCGTCGTTTTCTTGTTAATAGTAAATCTGACAATAGCAGCATTTTTCGGATGTTGCCCTTCCCCGGTGCAAAATGTGTTTGATGCAGTGTTTTTTATCGCTTCGTTGTGTGAAATGGTCTGACCAAGCCACCTATAAAAGAACGCTATTTAGACGTGTTCAGGGTTGAGGATAATGAGGAACTTGCGTCTATAAGCATTTTTAATGTACATAGTATAAATCAAAAATTGGTATATAGATAATTATAAGAGAACAGATAAAAAGTAATTTATTCGTTTTCAAAAAAAATTTCAAAATTTTGTTTTTTTAATTTTTTTACTAATTACTGTGAAAAATTCATAAATAAAACTTAAAATATAAAACTATTTATGTAGTTAATGGTCCTGCAGCTAGACAGAGGTTGCAAGTGTAGGTTTTGGTTTCCACACCGTGGATGTTTTGTCAGTGGAACGCATTGCTCACTTTCTCCATACAAAAAATAATTGTCGAACATACTTTGTAAGGAGAATCTGGCCAAAAATCAAGGCGAAAATTGAATGGGCATTCTTAAAATTTTTCTAAAAAATCTGAATAGAAAGTTGCAAATTAGTGGCAACAGTAGTGGCAGTGCATAGGCCATTTACCACAGCATATGAAGTTTTTTTGTAAACCCGATTTTACTCCTTATCCGTTCGCCGGCAATGGTTGTAGAATTCACAGACTCCTTATTTCGTCGTCGGTTATGGTATATTGACGCCGATTCTAAAAGACTTAACGAAGAAAAACGAAATGGCCTGCGTGGGCCAAATCACACAATGAAGGGTTCAACTCGCAAATATGAACTTTTATCAAAAATTCTTTTTGAGGGTTAGTAGGATATTTGCAATGAATCTGCACAATTGCTTTTTCAGAATTAGCGAGTCAGTTTTTTCTTACTTTTGGCCGCTGTAGTGCCATTGTGCGTCGTATCTCTATTATTTTTCACATGACCAGACACGCATACATAAATACATTTTTTTGTGAATGTTTCATGTCAGACTTTTCATTAAAAAAAAAATCCCAAATATCATGGGTTGATTTATTTATTACAGATCCGCGTTGGCAAAATGTCCCCAATGACAATGGAGGTGTTTCAATCGTTGCTAAACACATCATATTCTTATTTTACACTTTTGTATAATCTGTACAACGATTAATGCAATATTTTGGAACATTATAAATTAAATTAACTGTAGTGCAAAATTAGCTGCTTAAAATTGCTGAAATAGAAACATATCTTAACAAGAACATGCAGTAATAAAAGCTGAATTCGCAATGTATTATTATTGGTCGCATCATCTACCATTGCACTCGCCGTTAGTATTCCCATTACCACTTCCAGTCTGGTTTTTAAATTCAAATATTAACCCAATGCGAGTCTCCGTTTCGTACCATTTCTGGCAACTTACATTTTAGAGCGTGTTCAAGGAGATGCCAAAGGTAGGGGTTGGGGAAAATTTACACGCTCATAGGTTAGCTGTCCATCCTTCATTGCATGAAAAACTTGTGCGTTTAACCGATAAAGCACTTAAGGGCCATTCCATTGTGACTGGTGGGACATTTTACTCCAGCATGTGATCAATTGTGAGTTTTAACTATGTCGTCGAAACTTATGCAACAGCGAAAGATATTTTTTAATATAGAACGATAACTAATGTATACAATTACTTACATATTTATGGATGTATTTCCCTGTATTTAATTACCATTCTTCTACTCTTCCTATAAATAGAAAAAAATACATACCGTAGTAAGTTCGCTGGGACTAAAGTTCCAAGGCCCAACTTCGTTGAAATTTCAACGGGAACCCGGCTCTTTTTTAATGATTAAGAAAGCATTTTTAATATCGAAAGATACGAGTAAACTCGGAATTTCTGAGTGTTCACCAAAAGAATAAGTAATAAAAATTCATGGCCAGTCAAAAATTGTAGGAGCATAATGGGTAAGTTGAATTCAAGTCTGAGTCACACTAAAGTCGATGTTAAAACATTGTCGAAACTGGCATCGATGTATCGTCAATTTAGCGATTTTAGGCAATTGTAAACATCGATGGCAAATATCGAATTTCAAACCGATATTATCGATGTTTCAAAAATATCGATGCATCGTTTGCATCCCTAGTCACACTTTTGATTGGCTTAAATTTTTTTTATGGATTCTATACATGAAATAAGCTAACACGTGTTCGCGGATTTTTTTTAATTTTTTTTTTCTTGGGAGATATGATCTGGCAAAGTTTGCATTTTTTTGTGATTCTGACTAATCATGTACTACTTCAAATCGTCATATCTCGGGTTCTGCGCATCGTAGAGACTTCTCCTTAACGTCGTTTTAAAGCTAAAGAAACGGGCTTCACATTTTTTTATATAAGGTGGTCATTGGAGTCAATCGAAGACATGACATAATTTTTTTTGCAAAATCCGTCCGACTTAAAAAAGAATGGCTCAAAAGCGGAAATGGTTTAATGAATTTAAGCACTTCCTTATGCCACTACAGCAAAATTCTAAGAAACCTATTTTCGCAATTTGGCAAACTCCAAATTGATTTTTTATTGTCATTTTCAAATTGTATTTTAAAAATAATAAAAAATCTTTTTATTTTTTAATATTTTTATTGAGCTTTGTACCACGATTGTTTATTAGGAAAAACTGAAAAAGCAACAAAGTCTAAGCGGTAGAAGTTATAGCAGCTATTTCGGAGATCACCACATCTCTTCATCAGATTTGGTTCTGAGTTCGCAGTTTCCAGTCCGCTTAGAGGTGGTTAGAGTAAAGTAAATTCATCATGTATTTCAATTCAAATATAATTACAAATTGTAAAATAAATTAATATGGAAAAACCTAAATACTGAAATACCATTATAAATAAATAAGATTTTTTATTTATTTGTCATTGTTATGTGGCTTATTAACATTTTATTTTTTAATATTTTTATTGAGCTTTGTACCACGATTGTTTATTAGGAAAAACTGAAAAAGCAACAAAGTCTAAGCGGTAGAAGTTATAGCAGCTATTTCGGAGATCACCACATCTCT